TTAATATAAATAATAAATATATTTACAAATTAAAATTGAAATATCAGGCAATTTAAATATTGTAAATAATATTGTTAATAAGGTAAATTTTGAAAATTTTAATAATTAAAACATTGCAATGAATACTGCTTTATTAGCTTAAAGCACAAAAATCAGAAGTGATCGTTCAATTCTTGTAAAGCAACTATAAATTAAAATTCGTCAGTTATCCTAATAAAATTTAAAATGCAATATAATAGAATTCAAATTCCTCTTAAATACGATTTTAAAAGAAAATGCATCCAAAAATTAACAATATCAAAATATTCAACATTTATGTCTACCAAGGCATAAGGCGTAAAGGTGAATGAGGTGTGAAAGCCGAGTAGATGTGGAAAACCTTGTAATAAGTTAATAAATTATTCTTCTCGTCTAATTTCTTTCACAAAATAGAATAAGCATTTAAAATGAAAATAAAATTTTTGCATTAATTTTCATATTTAGAGCAAAATACAAAATTTTGAATTTGGATATCGATATTATATTTCGGATTAAAACTCTTTTCAAAGTAATTTAAAAAAAATCTAAAATATATATAATGTATTTGTTTATGATATTAGAAATGTCTACTGAAAAAATTTATTTCTTGACGAAAATTACTAAGTTTCAAGCAACATGTTAATGTTTCCAGAACATTCAATGATTAACATTAGTGCATCATATATTGCAAAAAATATGCATATCTATATTTATATAAATATTTAACAAATTGCAATACTCATTATAAGTTTATTCATATAAATTCAAATCACATTCACAGACAAACATTTGTCTTAGTCTTAAACTATTAGTCTTAGTATAACAAAAACAAAATTACTCTAACTATTTTATTATTGCTTTGCTCTACAATATGTTAGTAAGAAGCAATCACAAAAATTTCAACATATTTTGATAAATTAACAGCAAATTTTTATGCATTAAAATCACCTCATATTACAACTAATTTTTCACCTTTACATACATATATACTTGTATTATGTATAATAAATATTCTAACCTAGATAAATTCAATTTAAACCAAGGAAAAAAAAAAAAAAAGAAATCATCATCAAGGTACTTTATTATAGATTTAGATAATATTATTTGAATACAATATTTTTTCATATATGATGCTTGCTTACAAGCATACAATATTAACATAAAAGGTATAAATGTATATGTATATATTTCTAATGCATAAAAGTTTTTAAATTATATTAAGGCAAACTCGTGTATAGCATGTTAGAGTATAAATTTGTACTACAGATAATAAGTCGCATATAATATAGTTACAGTATATAAATAAAATTTTAACATGACATTGCTTGTTTTCCTCTCAACTCGTTGATATTGAAAGTTATTTGATTAAAAATAAAGTTGGAAATCAGTAAGTTTTTATTTTTTGAAGCTACAAATAGCAACTGAGAAAATGATTCTAACATTTTATCAAAAAAGAAACTGCAATTAACTGCAATTTACATTATATTGCAACTAACAATTTTATTAATTAAAAAATATTTGTTCAAAATTTCAATTTCTAAGCCAAAATTTTTTTGAACATTTTTGCTAAAAGTTATTTAAGACAATTATCTTAATTTCCAAGCAGTGCATAATTTTTAAGATAACGCAAGAAAGTTACATTAACGTCTTTATGTTCTAATATGCTAGCTTATGATCTAATTGTAGTTTACAAATTTTTAACGAATAAAGCTATCACGAACTCAGCCGGGTTAGTAGCTAAGTAATGATTTTCTTAATTCAACAAAGTAACATTAAAGTAAACTGAAATTTCAACATATAAAAACATATACCAACATTTTAATAAATCTGGATCAGGTGAAATAAAAATTATCTCATAATACCACTTAATAAGTTACGAATATAATATCCTTACTGTAGAAAATAACTCATATTTTATATAAAGTATACATTCGAATATTTATGTATACATAATAATATATGGTTTGTGTGTACAATTACATATACACATGTACAAATGAATGAATGAACAAGGACATAATAATTTCAATAAAATAATATATTTGTAAGATAAAATTGCAAAGATATTTTGTGAAAATTCTTCTGTTGATGAGAAAACTTCTCTAAAAAGAAAATAAATAATGATTTTAAGACGTGAAGAATTCTTTAAAAAGAAAATATTTTTATAAAATTTTATTTTATAAAAAAAAATTTATAATAAATTCGTATAAGACTAATGGTTTTTAAAGAAGCACTTTTTCCTTTTAACAAATGAAAATCTTTTGTAAAATAATCTGTTACGCATTTAAATTACTAAATTATTGCATACATTTGGGGTGAGGAAAAAATTGAAGCAATTACTTGAGTTAAAATAAATAATTATATTTTCTGATTCCATGGGATTTACCGTTAAATTCTTGCTTAAATATAAATATTGGAAAAGTATTTGTAACTTCATAAGTATAAGGTACGGAAAAATTGAAATTTAAAAAATTTTAAGTGTTATTATCACTTGGAAAGGGATAGACTCGCAGAAACATTTACTGTCAACGAAGTAAACTATTCATTAGTACCTAAAAGCTGTCTAGAAGAAAAATTATATAAAAAATTTTCTAAAACTGGTTTTAGGGCTTTAGATAACCGTTAATTTTAACGCCCATTTTGACTTTTTAATGTTCCATTATCATGTACCGCATAGTAGAAATTTAAAACATGTTTATGTTTCGTAGCAATTAATAATCAAAAAATGACATATATATGTTTATGATATTGGGAGGTAATAAGTTTTAAAGGGGCAGTGATAGATAAAAATGTTCTTCAACAGAAATAACAAGTTTCTAATAAAGATCTATTTGCATATAAAATTTCATCTTTTTATAGTAAAAGGTGTGAAAATTTTGTAAAAAGACACACGAACGGGCGGTTGGACAGAATGAAATGAAAGCAAATTAGTTTTGGAAAAATTCTAAAAATAAAAAAAAAAAATTCTTTTTTTTTTTAATCTTTTTTTAACATTTTTTTTTTTGTTTCAAAATGTTTAAAGTTTTATATAAAATTTTTGGAAAATTAAAAAATAAATTAATAATTTAATGTTATAAGAAATGGTCATGTATGTCAACATTGTCGAGATTCTTGTTTTATTATATTTTGTTCAAATCCCTCTTCTTAAGGATATAAAATATCCTGTATTTATAAGTAGATAAATGTTTAAAATTATCGGTAAACCATAAAACTCATTTATGAATTCATATAATCAAAATAGTGTCCTTATTCGTAATAAAACCGTGTTTGTGTATGATTTTAGTCCTTGCGTCCTTGTAGATTAAATACCTTTTGGAGATGGCATTCGAGCGACTATCATCTTAATTTACCCATTATGGGAATGTCATTTTTATTAATCAAATTATTAATTTTATAAACCAAGAAACTCTTAATTTGATTCCACTTTTGTCTACATTACTTCTGTTTAGCCTTAAGTTAGTATTTGTAAATATTTATGTATGAAGGAAGGGAAAATTTGTGAGAATATAAAAAGAAAATATCATTTTCTATGTCTTACTTATTTTTCATTTCTGAAAATTACCACTTAACAAGTTTTGTTAGACGAAGTAAAAAAAATAAATAAAGAAAAACTGAGCACATATAAGAAAAATAAAACACAAAATAAAATAAAATGTCATATACCAGTACACCTATATAAACAAACGTTAATGAAAAGTGAGTTATTTGAAAGGAGACAGGCCAAAATGATTTACAGCCAACATTAACGCTAAAAAATTTGTGTTCTTCTTATACTTGCTTATTGTATACATAAGATATGCTAACAGATAAAATGAAATATTAAAGAAATTTCATTAAAATTAAAATTAAAAAGTTCTTTCATATTTTATTTATTATGGCAAGAAATCTTATAAAATTATGTTAAAAATTGCGTCATTTAGAATGTTGTGCACAACTAAAACAATGTGGGTTATTGTAAATTTTTTGTAAATGATTGTAGAAAGTTCTTCATTTAAACGAAAAACAATTAAATACTTTCAATTTATATAAAATAAAAAAAAATTATTAATAATTCAACATTCCAGCCACTTTCGGTAGAAATCTCTTAATAAGATTTAAAAACGAAAACCGAAAAACACGGTCATTTTCACTTTATCTTTGATTGCTTACCTATCCTTTATATTTGACTGCTTGCTTACCTTGACACATAATATTTTATTGAATACAATTAAATATTTGAAAAAATATTAATAAAAACGTATACAAGAGTGATAGCTGTACTTCTTCTATGGAATTACATTTTTATGCAATTCCATGCTCGAAATCGAATCTCTTTATCTTATCTACTCGTTATCGGATAACTTGGTGCAATCAGATAATAATTCATCATATGAAAATAATAATTAAATAATTCCTATTATTTTATAAAATTTAAAATTTTTTTTTTATAATGTATGCTATAGGTTAATATATTGCATGTACGAGTAATCTCAGCGTTATAAAACTTATTTGTACTCCCTTAAGTTTTTCAATAAATTGTAAATTAACTTGCAATCAATCAATTAAATCTGGAGCCATAAGTATTCTTAATATTTTTATTTTATAATTCTATATTTTTATTCAGAGTAAGAGCTAGACATTCAGAATTTTTTCGAGCTAGACATTCAGAATTATTTCTAAATATTTTTAAATGTTTTGGATTGTGCTCTAGAGTACTATTTAAATTTATTTGTAATGGGTCTTCAAATTTTTGTTTGCGAAATTAATATGTACAAATTTACGTTCATTCAATTTTATTTTTCATTTATTTGTTCATCTGCTTCCTGCAATTTTCTCGTAAATTCTTCAATTTATTAGGTCGCATTAAAAACATTTGTTGTATTGTCAGCAAATGTAACGAAATGTAAAAATTACAAAAAAAAAAAATAAATATTTATATATATTATATAAGTAATTACAAATTAATTTTAATATTCTTTTTTTGAATTTTTTTTTCATTCCAGGAACTAAATTCCCTTTTATAATGAAATTATGTTTCTCATCATCGAAAAGTATGAATGGTGCATGGAATAACGCAGCAAGTGAAGGAATTGTTGAAAAAGAAAATGATGTAGACGTTAAAATGAACATTTTAAATTAAAAAAAGAAAACAAAAATTAAAATTAATATTAAAATAACAATTTTTTTAAAAAAAAAATATATTCAATAAATTTATAATTTTTCACTTTATTACTGCTATCTTCTTAAATTGTTTTTTTTTTTCTATTGTAATTATACAATTAATTAATTAAATGAATTAAATTTTTGTTTTTTTTTTTTTAAATTACAATTTACAATATCTTATAAAATTACAGAAAACAAATATGAATTTTTTAAAACTATAGAAAAGAAATATGTTTTTGTTTTTTTCTTTTTTAATGCAAAAGCTTATATTATAATTATTATTTCATTTTTAATAAAAAAAAAAAAACAAATAATTAAAAAATTAAATGTTATATTTTAAGTGACTTAATTTTAAATAAATTTCAAAAAAATCAATAAAAATTAAATAAAGCAAAAACAAAAAAAAAAGAAACAGAAATAAAATTTAAAAAAAAATATTGTAATTTAGAGAAACAAAATGAATAAAAAACAAAAAAAAAAAAAAGAAATAAATCAATTAAATAAAAATATAATTAAAAAAATAATATGTTAAGAAAATATAAAAAATAAAAATACACACATATATTATACACACAAAATACAATTTCAAAATAAATTCAAAAAAGAAAAAGAAAACAAAAAGAAACAAACAAAATGATCCCGAATATTCCACCTTTTAATTTAAAAATTTAAAATAATAATAATAATAAAAAATATAATTAAAAAATAAAAAACAAAATATTTAAAATTAAAACTAAAACAACACACTCTATATAAAATTTACATATTTATATAAAATATATAAGTATATTTAAAATATAAATATATAATTTTTTTTTTTTGTTAAATTAAAATAGAGCATGAAAAATTTTGAAATAAGGAAAAACAAAAAAACAAAAAAGAAATTATATTGTAAATTTACAAAATATAATAGAACAAAATACAAAATATAATTTAATTAAAATGAAAAGGAGAAAACAAATTAAAAATATATTGAGAAAATTAAAAGGAAATACTAAATAAAAAAAAAAAAAACTTTAAATGTTGTGAAAAATACTGTTGTTATATTTTAAAAATAAATAAGAAAAAAAAATGAAATTCTTTTTTTTTGTTTTTTATAATTAAATTTTACTTTAAAATATTTTTTAAAATTATTTTCCTTCTTCTCTTCCTATAATTTAAATTTTTAATAATCCAATATCTTTAAAATTATTTAGAAAATTATAGTAAATTAATTTTAAAAATAAAAATTATAAAATCCTATATAAACATTCGAATATTACACTTTATTATAAGTACTACAGATTAATGGAATTTTCTTCAATTCGTCAATTTTAAAAAAAAATTATTCCATTCTTGTCATTTTTTTACTCTCGCCTTTCATAAAATTTCAAAACAGTTAATAATTGATTTTATTAAAAAATTAAAACTGTTCTTTATTAAATAATTAAATACCTATACATTAATTTAAAAAAAAAATAATACATTCAACTTACTATAACTAAATAAAGTAAATTACAATAGCTTCTTCGAGAATATTAAAAATTAATTGCACAAATAATAACATAGTTTTAATTAAATTGACATATTTACTGTTTTAAAGTGACATTCACCTCCTGACACACATAAATTATGAGAACACTTTTGATTCATATAATTTTCCTGATATTTATATTCATTATGTTATATACATATAATATGAATATTGAAAATTTCTCCGTAATCTGTAGTACAACATTCATTAAAAAGGCTTATATAGTTATATTATATTAATATAATATAATATATTATAAAAATTAATAATTAAAAATATCAAAAAAAAAAAAAAGAAACAAAGAATAAAAAAGAGAAACACAAAAAAAAAATATATAAAAATTAACTACGATTCAGGTTGTAATTTGCACACCGAATATCTTGACATATGATTATTTTATTAATTATTCTTATTAGTAAAAATTGATTATTGTCTTAAAAAATAAAACAATAAAAATAACTCAATCAACACAATTAAACAAAATTTAAAAAAAAAAAAAACAAAAAACATAATATAAAATATTAAAAAGCACGAGTGCATTTTACATCCCAATATTATCACGATCCTTGAATCCTTAAAAAAAATACATATATATATATATATATAAAAAAAATTAGAAAAATAACAACACAATAATTCAAAATACATATACGATTCAAAACTATACCAAAAAATTTAAAAAATTGAAAAAACAAAAAAAAATAATAATAAAAGCAAAAGAAATTGAAAATAAAAATTATTAAAATCATTAATAATAAAAGAAAGAATAAAAAAAACCAATACATACAAAAAAAAAAAAATTTATTGTAAAAAATAAAATATTGAAAAAAACAAAAATAAAATTTAATAAAATTAGATTTATCGTATAATATAAAAATTAAAATTTAATTATATAACAATAAATAAAAAAAAAAAAACAAAAATTAAAAGAAAATGAGGCGCTAAATTAAATTATATTTAATATTATAAAAAATATATATATAAATAATTATAATATTACTTTATAATAATATATGTTTATGTATATAATATTAATAATAATATTTATATAAAATAAATAATAGTTAAAACACAAAAAGGTACTTAAAATAAATATTTATATAGAATGAAGAAAAGACCAAAATTCCTTTATAAAAATAAAAAAAAAAAAACGAAACGAAAAAAAAAACAAACAAACAAAATAATCAAAAACGAGGGAAATTTTATTAAAAACCAAAATTAAAGAATTTTTTTTTTTTTAAATATAAAATTAACAAAAAAAAAAATATTCTCCATTTTAATTTATTATTTATTTTTCATTTTTAATAATTTAATTTCGATTGAATTTTTCATTTATATTAATTTTATTATTTAAAAAAAAAGAAAAAAAATTGTTTAATTAGAATTAAATCGCGCGTAAAGTATTATTTTCAAAAAAATATATATATATATATACCAATTGAAGAATATTATATTATATATATATATATATATATATTTATATCACAAAATATAAAATATAAAATCTGAAATGTAAATAAAATATTATAAATGAATAAAATAAAAAAAAAATTTTTTAAATAATATTAAAGACACAAACTTTCATAATAGTAATTATTATACTTCCCAAACAAACACAAAAAAAAAAAAGCAAAATCAAAAAGAATGAAAAGAGAAAAAATTACCATATTTCAACATAGAGTCTCTTATTTCAGCAAAAAGAGAAATATTTACAATTAAAATTGTTTAATAATAAATTCGTTTATTTATTTATTATTCTCTTTGTTAATAGTATGCTTATGTAATATAATATTTTATTTATTCAATAATTCATCTTAAAATGAGTCTAATTGCTCGTACAGTGTATAATAATTTAATATAATTTCATATTAAATATTTATTGCTTTATAATAATTAAGTTGTATGCTCATTACAAAAAAAAAATATTTTCATTAAAATTAATAAAGGATTTCTAAAGTATTTTTTTTTTTTCAAAAATACTATGCCAAATTATTTAATTTTTTTTTGTTTCAATATAGAATTCTAAATTGAATCGTACATATTTTGTATAAAATACATCTTAATACTTTTGTATTCCATTATATAAATTGGAATAATATTCAATTCTCTCAAAGAGAATTTCTAACAATTTTTCTCTTTTTGCTAATTAATTACATCACTTAGTAAAAAAACAAAAACAAATCTCACTTATCAGTTATTTCATTCTTATTTCAATAGTTTTCATGAAAATTCTCCAAAATGAGTAAAACTTTTTTTTTAATATACTTTCAATAAAAAATTTTTAATAAAATTCCTGAAAATAATTTTCTTTTTTTAACTTTCATCATAAAAACTTATGTAAAATTAATTTTTTTTTATATTTTTCATAATTTCAAAAATATTTTAATTAAAATTACAATCCTAATTTTTATATTGAATCCTTCATATTTTGCAAAAAAAAATTTTTAATTGTGCCTCTTTAATTATTTCAAAGGAAATTAAAACAAACACTTTTTTAAAAATATAAACCAATCAATACACACACACACACACATTATAAACATACGTACGCCCCACATAAGATTTCATAATTATAATATTATATAAATAAATAATTATTTTTTAATTATTAAGAATTTTATTTAGGAATTTTTTAGAAAGAAAAATAAATGGAAAAAAAAAAAATTAGTTAAAATTTGTAGCAAGCGATTATATAAAATTAAAATTTAAAATTAATTTAAAAAAAAAAAATAAAATTTAAATAAAAAATAACAAAACACAAACAAATCAAACAAAAAAGACATTGTACTTAATATTTGAAAATTGATTTAAATATAAAAAATAAATTTAAAAAAAAAAAACAAAAACACAAAAATTGTAAAATTAAAAAAAAAAATAATTTTAAATTTAAAATTGAAAATAAAGCAAAAAAAAAAAAATTATAATTAAATATTATTAATTCAAATATAATTTTAAGTTTTTGGTTTTAGTCGTATTTTTAGTAATTTTTGTTAGTAAATTAGAAAAACAAAATGGTTAAAAAACATTAAAATTTCTTAAGTAATTAATAAAGAGAAGAAAATATTAATTTAATTTTAGTTAAAGAAAAAAAAAATGTGTATAAAAAAATTTAATTATATTTAAAAAAAAAAATTATTTTTTTTTTTTTTTTGATTTTTTGTTTGCTTCTTTTTTATTTAATTTTTTTTGTTAAATAACGATCATTATTATTATTGTTAATTATTTTGTAAGATTTTTTTGTTTATTTTAAAAATAATTTTTAATTTCAAATTTCAAAGTGTTTTTTTTTTTTTGGACTTCAAATTAAAAAATCCTAAATTATAAATACCTATGTTATTTCAAAAATCTTTCATAAAAATTCAAGGAATTTAATTTCGATAAAAATCTAAAATGAAGAAATATCAAATGAATACGAATAATCCCAGGTAGCACAAATTATTGAAATATGAAATTACTTAAAAATTTTCAATGGTATGGTTAAAAATTATGTTATTCTGTAAAATAAAAAAAAATATTAAAACAATTTATTCAAAGAACATCAATTTATTTTCAATATTTATATTTAATATAAATAAAAATAAATATTTATAATTATATTCAAATTATAGAATAAATACTAATATATTAGAAAAATGAAAATTCAATTAGAAATGATTTTAAAGGAAAAATTTATAATGAAAATCAAAATTATTATAATTTTCCATAATTAATTAAATTTGATTTTCATAAATAAAATTATATCAAATATTTCAATTTATACGAATT